TAACGTTAGTACTACCCACAATTCACCGAGAAAAGTTCTTTTGTATCTATAATAAAAAGCCTGTGTTCGTGCGTGACTATAACAGATATTTTTCGTTGGAAAGTATTTCAAGCGTGTTTATTTAACATGTAGTCGTGGATCTATTTTGGATTACTTTTTTAGATTATAGAAATGAGTGGAAAACAGAGCACACTTAATCACCTGTAGAACAATTCGTATGTAAATACAACTTCTGTGCATTTATTTACCAGCTCGTACTAACAGGCATAGAAGAAAGGCCCAGCGTTCATGGTGCTCTGGCGTCAAATAGGGTTATAAGAGCTTTTCGTTTCGCGAAAGCATTATTTTATTGGGGGTTAATATAGTTCGAATTTTTGTTTAGTTTTGTTTCCAAATAAACGCGAATAAATCAAAGTAACTCTTAGAAATGTATTGAGGCATATAGTTAAAAAAATTTGTCCTTTAAAGGTAAGTTTCAGTGTGAATCTTATTTTAAAAAAAAAAGAATATTTCGTCATGGTATTAGTAAAATAACCGTCACGCACTTTTAACTGTTTTTTTTTTTTCTCAATGTTTTGTTTCATTATTATGGAACGTTTCCAGCATTTATGTGTGTGTGTTCCACTGCATGAGCATATGGCGAAACGTTGTATAATAATATTAATAATAAAATAGTAGGAGTAAATTAAACGTGTGCATCTTGCATCTAAATTGTTAAATTTTTTCCCCCTTTTTTAAATAAAAATACTCTCATCAGTGTGTAAAATTAATTATTGTTTACAAAAAAATGGATATAATATTGACGATTGTTTCAAATGTGTTATTGTTACTTTATTTAAAATAACAATAAAGTTGGTTTTAATAAAATCATATGGCATTCACTCAATGCAACAATCTGTAAAACACTAGAAGTGCTCATGTGCGCACTAAGAAAGATAACCGGACTCTTTGTTTGCTCGGACGTGTTCGGATAATGATTATGATAAAATAAATTGTGCAGCTGTTCTGTTTGAAAGTTTCCCGAAAGATGGTAATATATGTACGGAAAGATTACAGCATACAGTTGGTATCAGTAAAGGGTAAGAGCCAGTGTGGGTGTGGGTGTAACTTAAGTACCGTATTTTTCGGAATATAAGACGCACCCTTATTTTGAAGACAAAGTTTTGGAGGGGAAAAAAGCTACAGTCGCATTTGAAAGATTTTTATTGAACAAAAATTCAATTTGATACTTTAAAGATTAGTATATATATATTGTTCTAAACACAAAAGAACTCAAAACATCAAAATAAGAAAATACCGTAAATAAAAAAAAAGGTTTACTGTTATTTAGTTTGGTTCAAAACCTACAAAATCTTTATTACTTTCACTGTAATTTATTTTTTTATTATTTAGGGAGCATTATAAATAGTTATGTTTTTAAAAGAAAAAAAATACTATTGTTATAAATAACACATTCAGTTGAACTAAACTATGCATGCCTATTTAAATATATTTACACATGGCTTATGTATATCGTATATATACATATATATTATTCAAACCTTCGGTGTATAGGACGCAGGCAGATTTTGGGGTAAAAAAGTGCGTCTTATACACCGACAAATACGGTAACTTATTTTGTATTACCTTAGAATGCGCATGTAGTCATGATTTTTTTAACAGATAGAAAAAATATAACCCATTGTTTACATTTGTATGTAAATTAAAAGATATACTAAGTGTTCGACTGCGTTTATCGGTATTTTTTTATAAGCCCCTGGTGACCAAAAGAGGAAATCAATACAACAATGAAGTTACCTTCAACCCCGCGGTAAGCAGAGAACAAATAGCACATTGAGTAGCTTTGCGCTTAACAACAAACAAACAAATCTGTTTACATTGTTATTCCATGGATACAATGTAATTACAACCGTATTGACTACTATTTTTTTTCTTGTATTTTATAATTACCAAAATATTTAATCAGTTCATCGTGTTTCTTTGTGTATTTTGTTAAACAAAAGTAAGACAATTACAATAGCTAGGATAAGTTAATAACATCATCAATATTAGGGGTTTCCTATTCAAATCGAGTTACATTTAGTAGTAAGTATTATTATTATTATTTTGCGATTGTGTATGCATATATCAAGCCTTTATAGGCGTGTAATGTATATTCTTAAAACGAAGTCTGTGGTGGCTTTGAAATTAAAGGATTAAGTGTGAGATACCGTGAAATCTAGTATGTTTCTTTATTAGTATGACGTACGTAATGCTAGCTGTATTACTTCTCTCAAGGCAAGTTTATTGAAACAGGATATTTTGTTCAGTTTTTAGTTTTTTTTAGGTAATTTACGTACATACGTTTTCAGTGGGTTTTCTCATCTTTATTATTAAGATAAAAAATCCACATGGTTTCTCTAAACTAAATAGGCTGCTGCTAGAAATATCGTTGTAATATAACTTTGTTAAATGACATGTGATATGAATTAGAAACACAAGTTAATTCTTGTTTAAATAAATGAAAAAGACAGTTGATATCTTTATGCACTTACAGGATTTGTTTAAATGATATGGTGTTAATACAGCCACGTGTCTTGAACTTTGTTTCACGTAGGTAAAAAAAATCATTATAAGCTAGTGATTAAAAACATGGAAGTTTAGAAAATTATATATTCCTTATACGTTATTGCTCAAACACTACCAATATAGTTGTGGGGGCTATAGGCTGGTTTTGGTTTAAGATGCCCCCAGTGGCACAGCGATAACACAACACCAGTATATACGTTAGGTGAGATCACGGGTGAGGGTTATCATACACAACACCAGTATATACGTTAGGTGAGATCACGGGTGAGAGTTATCATACACAACACCAGTATATACGTTAGGTGAAGGTCACGGGTGAGGGTTATCATAAACAACACCGGTATATACGTTAGGTGAGAGTTATCATACACAACACCAGTATATACGTTAGGTGAAGGTCACGGGTGAGGGTTATCATAAACAACACCGGTATATACGTTAGGTGAGAGTTATCATAAACAACACCAGTATATACGTTATGTGAACCTGGCTTTAATATACAAGTTTAGAACGTAAAATGTAAGGGAATCGATATGGGTTCTTGGTGCCTTAAAGTATTGGTTTATTGTTAAACACAAAGCTACACAATGGGCTATTTGTGCTCTGGCCACCACGGGTATCGAAACCCCAATTTTAGCGTTGTAAAGACGCATACTATGATAACCCTCACCCGTGATCTCACCTAACGTATATACTGGTGTTGTATATGATAACTCTCACCTAACGTATATACTGGTGTTGTATATGATAACTCTCACCTAACGTATATACTGGTGTTGTATATGATAACTCTCACCTAACGTATATACTGGTGTTGTATATGATAACTCTCACCTAACGTATATACTGGAGTTGTATATGATAACCCTCACCCATGACCTTCACCTAACGTATATACTGGTGTTGTGTATGATAACCCTCACCCGTGACCTTCACCTAACGTATATACTGGTGTTGTGTATGATAACCCTCACCCGTGATCTCACATAACGTATATACTGGTGTTGTATATGATAACCCTCACCCGTGACCTAACTTAAGTATTTCTTCATGTAACCAATACGAAATATTTGTCGCACATTAACCAATTCATGCAACACACGAACAGACTGCCATGATTAGCCACTTTTGACCCATCATCACCGTTTCTGTAAATACGATTAGTATGTGTTTGAGTTACTGACTTGTTCTAAAACTATTTCTTTGTAAAATGGAAAAAAAATTAAGTTTAGCTCCTTTCTTACTTTTCAAAATAATTCAGAAAACTTAATATATAAACGTCATTTTGCGTCGTGTTTATATGTACACAAGTACGTGTGTATGTATGTATGTGTGTGTGTGTATATATATATGATCTGGAAGATCTTTTATTCTTAAAAACAAACACTTTTTAAACACCTTTTATTTTTATTTTTTTTTGTAAAACGCAAATATATAATACCATTTTTAAACGTATTCTTAAAATGACGATTTTTATATTTATTTTGTGCTATTTGTACCTATGTTTGGCTTACAAAAGGAGTTTTGTAAGCTCTTACTTCAACACTTTTTCACAATGAACACGTATGGGGTCATGTTTTGTGGGGGAGTTGTAGGATAAAGCAAGTTGTTCCACTTGATCAGTGTAAGTGTAGCTGCTATACATCACATCACTTGGACCTGTCACGTCGTGAACACACACCTCGTTGCTTGCTTGGCTTATCCTTGTACTTCGGCGTTGTTTAGGGCTAGTCTTAACATGGTAAGGCCTCACTTGAGGTAAGATCTCATTATCACTTTATTACGAGTCAGCCCTCTCAAACCTGTAGATGACTTGACGAAACAAGTCCGAACAATAGCTCATTTTTTTAGTCTAGCTAGGGGCATTGCCTTATACACATAGCACTGGTAAAACTCGATGTTTGGACAATTACCCATTAATTAAATGACAGGCTCGCGGTTTTTCCGGCTCTCTAGATAGTACATCATAAGCTGTCTTTCTTAGAAATATTTAATTGTGATTAAACTCTCAACATTTTGTTTTAATCTAGTCTTTATTACCATTTTATGTGTGTATGTATAATTAGACTTATAACTGACTTCCTACTTCCCATATAACACCATATTTGTGAGAACCTTACACTTGTTATGCGAAATTAAGAACGTGAGTGAAACTATTGTTCTAGGGGAGTTTTAGGTAGAGTGTTCTGGACTTTAAGCTCTCGTGAACTGCACATGCCTGGTGTGTAGGAGCGTACAACGTTTCAGTTTGTGTTGGGACAAATGAAACGGGTTCAACTCCAGGATATGAACCCAATGGTAATGTATTGAGTTTACTCAAGAGGTCAATTTAACCCGAAAAATATTATTCATCGAAGTGTTTTTTTTTTCCATTTTTACAAATGCCCCCATTTTTTTTAACTACTCTAACTTAGCGATTTCTAATTATTTAGAGGAATATCCCCCGTGGGAGGATGGCCACGACAGACGGGGGACAGATTAGATTCAGCGGACATACACTGGATAAAGCCACCAAGGCAAAAGTTCATCTGGAGAATTACTATTCAAACCTCATTTCACAGCACCTCGAGAGGAAAAGCAGGTAAATCAGTGAGAACTAGAATATCAATATTCTACTAATTTCATTGTTTTTGTTGGTTTAGAGCAATAATGTAGAGTAAGTATAACAATAATGTAGAGTAAGCTGGTGTTGTGTATTTTGTTTTTGTTGGTTTAGAGCAATAATGTAGAGTAAGTATAACAATAATGTAGAGTAAGCTGGTGTTGTGTATTTTGTTTTTGTTGGTTTAGAGCAATAATGTAGAGTAAGCTGGTGTTGTGTATTTTGTTTTTGTTGGTTTAGACCAATAATGTAGAGTAAGTATAACAATAATGTAGAGTAAGTATAACAATAATGTAGAGTAAGTATAACAATAATGTAGAGTAAGCTGGTGTTGTGTATTTTGTTTTTGTTGGTTTAGAGCAATAATGTAGAGTAAGTATAATAATAATTTAGTCATTTTTTTGTACACTGCTTTCATTTTTACTCCTCCCCCCCCCCCTCCTAAAAAAGAAGAAAAATATTTGGTTATAAGGGCTTTAGGATCCCCCTGAAATTTTCGGGGGAAGTAGAATTTATTTGAGTTGGTGACAGGCGCAAGCTACATTGTAGATAATTTACGAAAAATGGCCATAGCAGTTTTGGTAGTATAATGGACTGCTGAAGCGGGAAAGTCCAAAATGACTTTTTTTTTTTTATCTGTTACTCAGTGGCAGATCCAGAGGTAGTGTTTAGGATTGGGGGCATGACCCTCTTTGCTTCCCTCCTCCTTGGATCCACCAATGCTGCTACTACAGAGCATTGAACTATTTGTTAAATCACTCGTATGTTATTTTCATACACTATTATAAATTCATTTTAATGTAATATTTCAGATCGTATGAGTAATAACAACTAAGGTAATTATTCTGCTCTTTCTTTGTTTACAGGAGACTTATTAAATGACGTATAATTACCATCATTGTGTGGCAGTTGCTAAAATAATTCTTGAAACACTTAACTGTTTGGTGAAAAGACTTTTGTCTTTTACAGTTCCAAACTGTTTTTAGTCTGTTGGTGAAACAATTGGCGAGAAGGAGGTGAGTTGTTAGAAATTGCGCTGCATTTATTTGCTCGCCATACAATATTTAAAAATCGTTAAGATGAAACTGGTATTTTAAGAATAGGAACAATGTTCTTCTCAGTTCCAGAACTGGTCTAGACCTTGAACTCAACCTGTATTACAAAATGTTCTTTCACCAGTTCGAATGGTGTCAAATGAACGAATATCAAAGGAAACTTTATAATAACTTATTTGTAAGTTTAATGGAATAATAATAGTAGTAGCTAGCATTTGCATCTGTACAAGATATGCAAGTCTTGCCATTAGGATTAGGCCTACGTGAAGCTAGTTATTATTATTATTATGTACAGAATAGATCAATGTATCGCTTACTTTTTTTGTTGTTGTTTTTTATGTTCATGTATCACAATTGTAAAAGATTATGGTTAACGTTTTTGCACTTGTAATTTGTTATTTAGTATTTGTTTCATAATTTCTATTAATGTAATGTTGAATATCAAAATAACATATTAAACCAGATTGAAATAAGAGGTTGTTAAATATCACAGACCGATTTTGTCGAGCGTGTGTGGTGAATAATTATTTACATTGGCAAAGAAGCGCTTACTAAACCGCTATAATATAAATTATCAGTAACAGACAATAGGTGGCTTCAACCTCCTAACAAAAGTGACCTTCTCATATATGAGCGGTCATTCACCCGAGGTCTGTTTTGTAGGCCTAACCTAACCTTAGTAACAAACAAGGTTGGGATATGAATCGGGTTAATACACCAGCTATCTGTGTACTAATGTTAATTCACATCATTCTGGGCCTTATTGGTAATGTTCATGGTTGAGTGCCCGAAATAATTATCGCTTAAAAATGAGCGGTGGACAAGCATTGTATGTTAGACGTTAAAAACGTTTTGGAGTGACATAAAATTTTTATCGTGTCATTTTTATGTGTTTATGTACATGCTATTATATTATTTTTAGTGATGTGAATTTCGTGGAACACAGACTGTAGTATTGGTTATTGTTTTTAAAGTGAGAAAAATAAACCTGCATTGTCAAAAACAGGAAACCTTGACTTCTAATTCTATAGGACCCTTAGGGTGTAATGAAAAAAAAAAATTCTAGTTCATAATATCGAGTTTTTCTGTTAAGAAAAAAAAAGGAGTACAGAAATTCTCTCTCTCTCTTTTTTTATAGAAAGTCGATATCTTGAACTAGATGTTGTTGTTTTTTGGAGGTTTAGGGTAGTATAAATGTATCAAGAACTACCTGTGGAAAGATGTAACTGACAGTGTTGTACTTTTAATGAATACTTGGCAAAGTCGTTTGGTTGAATAACCAAATATTCAACCACCAGATAATCTATATAAACAGTTTTATTAGTTTCTTGGGGTACTGGAAACTATGGGACAGATAAGTTAATATGAAATTTTGGAATAAAATGTAAAGAAATTACAGACTGGGCAATATTCGATATGAATACCTCAACAAGGGGTCAAATGATTATTGAATACCAATATTGTAGTTCATCCTGTAAATATATATTATAATTTATACAAACCGTAAATAATCTTGTCAACAGCCTGATATTGTTTGGACATGTCCTCTGCTTTCTTAAATCTCAGCCTGTTGTATGTCCTGCTATATGTGCAAGTTTTGACATGTTGGAAGGTGTTGTTATAAAAAATTGTTTGGGTTTAAGACATGTACAGACCTGTCAGTTGCAGTGCACACACTGATCTCTGACTTAGTTAATGGTTAATAATGGTTGGAGACTGCTTGAATGGCTAATAAAGAAAAACTTATATAAAAGATTTTCTTCATTACCCATTCAAGCCGTCTCCAACCATTTTTAGTCTCAAAGTGGGTTCCTCGTCATCGTCAATGAATTAGTTAATGGTTGCTGTAAGTGTTATGAAGAGTGATAACCTCTGTACTCACTGATTGCTCTGAGGTTTTAGGTTGCTCTGTTTCTGGCAATAGATATGAAACATTTAACTATTCAGCTGCTGAGTAGGTAATAATATTTGGCCATGCCATAATAAGTGTCTAGAAAAATGACTGAATTCAATGCCTTAAGTAATAGATATTATAATAACCATGTAGAAATGCCCTAAAGGACTATTATCTATCTATGGAAGAAATAATTTATCGTATTATATATATATATATATATATATATATATATAT